AGAAGCGTTATAAGCGAAACACATTAATTTTACTCCCCCTCCCCTAAAAGTTTCATGTAGCCTGATAACACTTTTTCAATAGATAAGAGTCAAGATTCCCGGTAGAATCATGATCTTAGAAAATAAATAAACAATTTTATTGAACATTTTCATATTTAATTAACTTTTTAAGAATAAATGCATAAATAAGAAACAAAAGTTGGATAAAAAGCTCTTTGAACACGCGCGACACGCAAAAAAACATGCACGGAACAGCAAAAAGCGCTTCAATCCAATCTTCTCATTTAAAATATTTTCCCCTACAGAATTTTCCCTACACAGGTACCTTTTTTACCGGGACCTTTTTTTCCGGGGACCTTTTTTTCCGTACCTTTTTTTCCGGTACCTTTTTTTCCAGGTACCTTTTTTTCCGGGACCTTTTTTTCCGTACCTTTTTTTCCGGTACCTTTTTTTCCTAGAATCGGTGTATCAGCGTCTAAGTTAGCCATTGATTTAATTGCTTTTTTTTCTTCCTTTGGTAAAATATTACTTTGTCCTCCCTAAATTTACACCTTTATTTTTTACTTCCTTTTTGACGAAAATTCTGAAAATGTGTTTCAAAGGCTGTATTTATGGAACACCTAATATATATGTGTATGTTTATTTTGTTTTCAGGACATAAAAAATTTTACTTCGAGGGAGGACAAACGCCATTTTGTCCCATATGTGGTCAAGCTCTTCAACTCTCAGATCTTGCGAGTCATTTCGAAATGGAAGTAGAGAGGTTACCAGAAATACGAAAGTATGTTTCTCTTTTTTATCAACGATTTTTTTAAAACCTATTATAACATTATAGTTTCATTTAAATATATAACATTATAGTTTCATTTAAATATTTTCATAGAGAAATATTGTCCTAAGTCTTATTAAAAGGCAGGTTAAGTTTGGGGGAAAAAATCCAGGATTTTCTTAACTTATCACTGCCTACGCTATTGTTTACTTATTTATTTGTGGAGTTATCCAATATTATCCAAAAGGATTCCTACCTTAAAAGAGGTTACTTTAACTCAATTGAATATTTGTGTACAACCTCTGAACAACAATGCTCGATTCTGTTTATATTTTCATCACCCAAGACGTTATCGAACGAATAAAATTATTATTTATTATGGATTAAATTGAATAGTATCCTGCTTTTTTTCTCTCCAGGAAATGCCTAAAATGGCACAAGAATTATTTTTTCGACATGAATTACTTTAGACATTTGCCGCTGTTAACAACCATTTAATTAGCAGCTAAAAATACTTCGACTGCCAAAGGTTAATAATGATGAATAATCATAGAGAACAAGTACTGAGATAAAAATTAATTTCTGAAATTTTTCTTCGATTTATGCAAATTCTAGATTTATAATTTCAGTAAAAAAAAAAAAAAAAAAAAAATAACCGTTAAAAGTAGCTTTGAAATTTTATAGAATCGACCAACTTTCGGTATAAAATAATTTTTAACCCCAATAATGTAAATTCTAAACTTGTTAGCTAATTTGGCTAGAGATTTTTTTCAGTTTTAAAAGCTCTAATACTAAATAACACAGTTAAGATTTGCTTTAAATATTTTATAGTTACAAGAACTTTTCGCTACGCTTTATGATTACGTCCAGTTCGTTATGCTTCTGATATCCTTTACATATTATATCCAACTAAATGTATCTTAACACAACAAAATATACGAATTGCTTAAAACTTCTTAGAAAAATTATCGTAAATTTCCATTCTATGCACCATTTTCCCCAGAGCATTCTTCTGATTTTAATGTATTGTTACCGAAGATCAGCATATCAGTACATCACAACAAAAGAAGTTTTTCTCGAACAGGTAGGTACGAATTGATTAGTAATGCTTTAAGTAAGTTAAAGAGAGTTCGAAAGTTCGGCAGGGTTGTTAACTAACATGAAAGAGATGCAACAATTCTTCATGGGGAAGTCCAGAACCTGGCAGAGACTAGTCTCCCAAGTTAGTTCATGCTAGTTAACTTACTATTCAACTGCCACAAATTTAGAGGACTCAACAAAGAAGTCTGTTTTATAGAAGAAGCCGCTGTCTTTCTCCATTTGCCTTACTTTCCATTTGAACAAAGATTAATAGTTTCTCTTCTATTTTCTCACGTTTTTACCTTCTCAATCTATTCTAAGGATTGCCCTTGGTAAATTCTTGATGAGATAATAAGCAGTTTACTGGTGGCCTCCAGTAAAATAAGAATGATTTATGTTTCTTTTTATTGTATCTTCGTTGTTATCGGGGTACATTTGTACTAATAATTTAGTTCAGTAGAAAGCGTAGTCTTTATCTTTTTGTTATGTGGAATAAACTTAAGGATTTATTTTAATAACAACTAGAAGGCACCAGCCCCTGCTCGCTTCGCTCACTAGCCCCGTTATTGCTGTTCATTCCTCATTGTTCTTTTTTCTTAAGCGTCGTTTTCACACAAATTGTAATAACGGAGTATTTTGTTTATTACCACGTATAATTATTATTGGTTTATGTAAGAACAATTTGTTTCCTGTTAATTGCAAAAAAAAATTTAAAAAAATAGACGATATTCTAGATTTGAGAAATAATCATTTGTGCTTAACAAAAAGATTTCTTAAAAAATGCAGATTGTGAGATTCAACAAGACGAAATATATGAGAAGCTTATGATATAATTATACAAATATATGAAGTATACGCGAGCTTATATAAAGATTTTGTAAGAGAAAATCAAATTTTCTGTAACAATGAATAAAAAGTCAGTATTTAAAGCAAAAAAGCTGAAAAAGATCGTGAAAAAGCGCTTAAATTTTTTAAAACTTTCAAACAAATTGGAATTTTTAAAACAAAGTTCAGGTTAAGATCACAGCTAAAAAGTACTCTTTCAGGAAGTCAAATTTTAACTCCGTAGTTGTATTTCAGCAAGCTACGGATGGACCAAACATGACATTTTTTTTTAAATCTATATTTCAAACAGTTAGTAATTATCAAGCTAAATTTCGAATCTTAATTTTTTATTTATTCTGTCGTATTTTTTTCTGCATATAGTCGTAATTTCAAGTTTCTAAGTCTATAGATTTCGTACAGCAAAGCAAAATGTAACGTAAAACAAAGAAAAAGAATCACTTGAAACTGCACTAACTTTCAAACAAATTAGAATTTTGAAAAAAAAAATCTTTGTTAAGTTCATAAACTAATATGACCTTTTTAGCACGTCAAATTACAACTTTGAAGTTGCATTCTTACGGGCTGTAGAGTGGCCGTATGGCATTTTTCCAACAAGTTTAGCAATTATTAATTCTCGAATTGTTTATTTGATAGTTAAAATTTTTAATCTAACGTCATCTCTGTACCTTTTTCAGCACGCTTTAGTAATTTCAAGTTTCGAAGTCATATAGCTTTTGCGCAGCAAAACAAAATGTAACACCCAAAACAGAGACGACTGCCTTTACACTTTTTCAATACAGCGAGAAAATTGTTATATTGAAATATATAATTTTCCATAGTTTCAATACTGTAGTTGTTGTTTTATTTATTCTACACAAATATTGACTCAGAAATGCACGGACCTATTTAATAGTATTACATATACGTAGTATTACATATTGAATTCTCTTACGAATGTTGCTACCTCATAAAATGCATATAAAATTAATAATAAAATTTTCTTTTAAAATCAACTTTCAAATAATCAACTAACGAAAGGTGAACTTACTGTTTGTTTAAAAGAAAGAAACTTTATGCATTACATTTGATTTAAATGCAAAAGTCAAAAATTGAAAATAAAGAACGATGTAAGGAAAAAATACTCTAAAATTGGTTTCACAAAATAAAATATTGTTTCTCCAACTTTTAAAAAGATATTTTTGAATAAAATAAATAAACTGTATGAAAGTATTTCTTAAAGAATAATTAATTGCAAACTCCTTTTTAAGATCTCCTTTTCAAGTTGAAATATAATTTTAAAAGATTACATATTTTACTATTATTTGAATAAACTATTGTCTAATTGTAAACGTTTCAGAAGCACTTTCTAATTTCCTTTCTTTGTGACCATCGGAAAATAAATATTAGTTACTAATTGTGTGTTTTTAATTTCCAGATGCATTAGCCAACAAGTAGAAGTGACATCTTTGCATTCGGTATGTATTATTTTAGCTTAAATTTAACAAAATTATTTATTTAAATAAGACTTTGACATGCTACATAAAAAAAATTGATAGCCTTAGAAAAAAGAAATAGTTTTAAATATTTTTATTGCTTTAATATTACAAACTCTCCGAAATTTTTTTTCAATATTAAATCACAATATTGGTACCCTGAACTGTTATATCGGTGTATTGCTCAATAATAGTTCCATTATGAATTCTAGTGTGGTACAAAATTTAAAATATATATATATATATATATATTTATATATNTATATATATGTGTGTATATATATGTGTGTATATATATGTGTGTATATATATGTGTATATATGTATATAAATCCTATTTTGTTAGTATGTAAATATAAATATTTTATTACATTACCAAAAGTATGATACTTTTTAATCATAGTATAAGACAAACTGAAATTAAACTTAAAATGCCTATAGATAATGAAATCATGAAATGCTCGCATGGTAATTTCATAGTTGTGCCATTACCTTTCAATTTTTTTAAAAACAATTTTCTATACTTAATTTTAATTCTTCCTCTGTAGTAGATATTTTTATGACTGTATATTTTTAATGAAACTGTTAAATATTAAAAGAAGATATCATTGCTGTCATTTAAGTTAAAAATAATTAATTGTGGTGCATTCATTTCTTTTACTGGTTAGCCTTTTTCGTCCCCTATGTGTATGGTACGCAAGGATGACAAAGGAAAACCAGAATCCAGATGGGAGGTAAGAAAACAAACTACTTAAATGTAAAATTTTATAGTAATGTAAAAGTTTATAGCAAATTTAAAAGTTTATAGTAATGATAATGAGAATACGTTTCTGTTTTACGCTTTGTATCGTTTATAAATTCGAATTACGAAGTTTGTGTTTAAAAAAATAAGTACATCATCGGGTATATTGGTATATCTATCAGAGTGAATTTAATTTGATTGTCAATAAAATTATAGGACCCAAAAATTTAGAATAAGTTAAATAATTCAGTAGATGATTCAATTTTTTGTCAAACTAGAAGTCTTGCTTCATTGTATTAAAATAGCTATTCTTTATACGTAATTAATGTATTCATTTTAACTTATCAAATATTTCGACCTCTTTCATGCTTCATCGTATTTTAAATACCCATTATTTATTAATGATTAACGTAACAATTCTAATTTTTAAGATATTTCGACGTCTTTCATATGCTTTATCGTATTAAAATACCTATTTCTTATTTATAATCTACGTCATAAATTCAATTTTTCAAATATTTTGCGTGTTTCATACTTCATCGTATTAAAATATTTATTCCTTATTTACAATTAACGTAACAAATTTGATTTTTTAAATATTTTGACGGATTTCATGCTCTATTATATTAAAATGCCTATTCTTTATTAGCAATTAACAGAATAATTTTAGTTTTTAAATATTTGTATGTCTTTCAACTAAATTTTTATGCTGATAAAAATAAAGTACACTGCACTTTAATGCAACAAATTCCTGAAAATGCATGGTAAAAAATACTATTACTCAGCAAAAAGCAGTACAATTACTCATTACTATTACTTGCTTTTTACGTAGAATTCAATGATTAACATAAAAATTTATTGTGGTATAATATTATATTATTATTCGCGTAATCATCACCAAGATTTGTTAATTTGACATTAATCTACTACTACTTTTCTCGAATAATTTACTATATAAGTTAAATGAAATTGTTGAACGTACATTTTACAATGATGTTTACTTCAAAAGTTTTCAAAATTTTTTACCGGGTTTATAAAAGGAGCAAATATCAAGGAGATTCTGACAAGCTATTGGAAATTTAAATTTAGAGCAAAAACGGGATAAAATCTTTTATATACATATACACTCTCAGTAATAAAATATTTGTTTTAGGTTTTGAAACTCGTAAAAATAACCCACAAAATCTATTCATTTTTTTTCACTACAGTTGAGCATTTCTTGTGGTTTTCCTCAAAACTCATCGTTGTCAGGGTTTGTTGTAATTTTATCAAATTGGTCTTTCTAACACAAAAATCCTTCTTCAATGCCTCTGTCATCAGTTCAAGAGAAATTTCTGAAATTTTATGCTGAAATCGACGTTTGCAATTATTTATTAATTAACCCCCCTCCCCCTAAAAATGGTCAACTAGATCAATATTGAGCTGGAATTGACTAATTTCGCTATAGACGAATACTACTTTCGCATTAAATAAGTTTTCTGGCAACAAAATGGATCAGTTCAATATAATCTGGACTAAGAAAAAAATAATTTCAATCTTTGTTTAAAGTAAATCACGAAATTCGATAAGCCTGGTAGTCTTGGACGCAGAAATTTTATCAAACATCTTTTCTCACTTTTTTTATTATTATTTTGTATTAATTTTGGTCAAAATAAATGAAAAATATTATATTCAGCACTTTAATAATTTATGGTTATGAAATACAGCTTTTTTCGACGTTAAAGGTAAAATCTTCCAAATTTTGTTTACTTCCAAAAAATAATTTTTAAAGTTAGCACTTGTTTTCGGTTATTTAGATTTAAGAAAAACAGTTATGCATCATTGAAATTTGGCAATTTACCAAGGTATCTGTAGGTATTGATATATTTTTTGAATAAGAATGAAAAAAAAAAATTCTTTTCAAACTTCTTTTTCTGGAATTTATATTTTAGTACAAATATAATTCCAATAATTTAACAGATTTTTTAGTAACTTTTAGATTGTTTTCAGAATTAAAATTACCAAAATATATTTTTACTTGTAATTAGGACGTCAGATTAGAATATACATAATTTTAATCAATAATTTTTAGGAAGAATCAAAAATACATACAAGGATCATCGGTGTCCTATCTTCGTCAAAGAGTTAAAAAAATATTTAATCACATTTCAGATTATTTATTCAATGAATTAAATTGTATGTTTAATTAACACACATATATTTTAATTTCAGACATATCAACGAGTGAAAAGCAATAGAACAACAAGACTAACATGTAAGACATTAATATAATTTCTCATATTATACAATTACTATTCTGTGATGTAATCGTAAATCAGATTCTATGCTATAATCATAAATAAATTATTTCATTGTATTTTCTTCATTGCAATTTTCCTTGTATTTTTATTAAAAAATTTAAAAGTAAAAATTTTATAGTTTTAAAATTAAAATAAGAAATTAGTATTTTCACTCAACGTCGTCGTGTAAGCAATTGTATTTTTAATTAATTAATTTATATTTTATTTATTATTTTTACCAAATTCTAATTTATTAAGTTCCATACATATACATTTTCTATCAAATGTGTAGTCTCTAATTTATGTCTAATTTTTTTTGTCTAATTCATGGTCTTTAAATTAATGTATACTTTTTGTCAAATATATAGTCTCTAATTAATGTCTAATTTTTTTTTGTCCAACGCGTGGTCTTTAATTTTTGTCTAATTCTTGGTCTCTAATAAATGTTTCAAGCTAGTTAAAAATTATAAAATTAGTAGTTAGCTGTTGGATGCGAGAAAAATTAAAGACTAGCTTTGACATTTGATTTTTCTAAATTTCATGGTTTATTATCTTTCTCTTTTAAATTTTAATTTCATAAATTTCAATTGTACCTTTTTCATATATATATCTCACTTTTTNTATATATATATATATTTTAAGCAATTTACTGATTAAAATTTCATTTGAAGTTACTTTTTATTCTAATTTGTGTCATTCCCTTCAAGCAGCGCGATGTATGATTAAACGAAAGAAATGGGATGATCCCAATTGTACAGAGCGATCACCAGAAGAAAATCTTCACATGATGCCTGGATTGAGAAAAGTATGTTGTTTTTCTGCCCTTTTGTACTTAAATAGTCTTCCTATTCTTAACGTATAATAAAATTAACAATAGTAAAATTTTAATTCATCTTAATTCTTTTGTGGTCATTTCTTATAATTTAAGTTGCAATGAAACGTAATTATTGTAGCGAATTGTTTGAACAAAGATATGAATGGGAAAAGTATACAACATTCATACACGGAATGTTGAAAGTAAAATTATTCCTGTTCATGTTAAAATATATTCTTTAAATTAAATAAAATCATAGCAAAATCTTTTTTAAAAAAACTTGAAAATATTTAATGGCTCTCTGATTGACTATGATATAACATTTCATAAGATTTGCACTACGATATGAATTTTTTTTTTTTTTTTGAACAGAGGGAATCTCCTGAGACGTCTATAGACAGCCGAACGGCAGCCGAACTTAATTGGGCTATGTCAGCCAGAATGCATGCCATTGCAGCTGTAGCTTTTCAAAGAAATCTTTCTGGTAAGTACGCTTTCTGTATGCATGTTGTCTTTAAAAATGTTTGTCTTTGAATTGTAAAATGATCTAAAAGTAGTCTAGTAAAATATCAATCTAGTAAAAGGAGAATAAATCTTTAAAAAAAAAGTAAATTATGTCGTGCTTTTATCCAGTTAATCGAACCATATGTGTAAAAATATGAGAATTAATTAGTTATATTTTTCTACAGATTTCGCAAGAAATCACGAAGATGAGAATCAAGAATTGAATGTAGATGAAGACGACAGTGCAGTGTATGGACAGCCACAGTATCCTTTGAACGTTTTAGCTGTATTCACTCAAGTTATCCTGTTCCAAGATAATGTTTATTAGCAGGATAATGTAATATTGCCTGGAATTGAAGTAAAATGACGAGAGAAAATATGACAGCCATTACATTCGTTTATTACAGGAAAAGAAATTGAGACTCAAAATTTTGAAGCTTAATTAAAGTATTGAACTAATGGGCCACTGTTTTAAATCAGTGTTTCTCCACCCAAGGCAAAAAAAAAAAAAAAAAAAAAAANAAAAAAAAAAAAAAAAAAAAAAAAAAAAAAAAAAAAAAAAAAAAAAAAAGTGACGTAAGAAAAATATTGGGTTAAAAGGAGATAAATCAGCTTAATATTATACTACTGAAACGTACAATATTATGTAGAATAATAAATAGATAAAAAAAAAGGAATGTTTATTTACATAAGAATAAAGTAGCATGCGTTGTGGCTTTTAACTCTTCATAACCAGTGAACTACACAAGCTAGTTAATCTATGCTTACTTTAGTAATCCTAAGTCCCGCAGTGGACTGATCGTTAAGACACGGTTCCCAGCAGATCACCGAAGTCAAGCAACACTGGCAGCGGTCAGTGTGCTGGTGGGTGACCACTTGGATTAGTCTGCGTAGGGACCGAAGGTGTGCGGTATTGGTCCTCGTTAAACTGTTCTACCGTAAAGTGCTCGACTTCGCGTGCAGGTCGTCGGGCTACCGAAGCGGTGGTGCTATCCCCTCCACAGAGGATCAAAATTATTGATAGCATGTTTTCGGATCATCCTCAGGGATATTTCCCAGACCGTCGCCAATAGCCCATTGTGCAGCTCCAGTGCGACGTAAATGAACTAAAACAACAACTTATAAATCCCAAAGATTGCAATTTAGTATATGAAAATTCATTTGTTAGACCAGAAATAAGTTTCTTTTAATTTTAATTTTTTTTTAAATTTTGAGTGCCAAACATTAGTTTACTTGCAATACGATATCTAAAGATGGCTAATTAACTATTTTATTTTTAGGTGCGTAAAGTGAACTAAGTTTATGGGATATAAAACTTTTTCAAAGATACATTAATGTTTATTAATAAGCAAATCAACAAAATAATAAAATCTTAACCAAGTAAAGCACTGTTTAGCGACGTTCGCTAATCATTCAAAACTATTAAGTGTTCAATAGTAGAAAAATTCTGCTTATCTCACTATCGCTAAGACTTTCCATATTCGAGTTTATCTCATGATGTTCTTAATTGTGGTGTAAGAAATGTAAGTAGCCTTGTTTCTCCTTAATTTTAATTTTAGTTACACTGAAGCTGATGTCATTACATGTTCTAGCGAAGATAACGTTGACAGCAAAGAACAAATCAGGAGGATACAATCAAAGTGAGAATTTTTTTGAATTTTTACCACTTCCAAAAAGAAATTAACTTTAAAAAAAAAAGGAGTTATACTGCACTGAGAAAAAAGTATGGTCAAAACTACCAGAATATGAAGGAATTTACAGTGTTTTCGGCTCTATGGAACACTAAAAAGCTCGGTAATTTTACTAAAGTGCTTTGGTATTTATTTTTGTAAAATGAACAATAAAATATGGTTTTATAATACATGATAAATATTTTTGAATGTGGCAGAATTTGTTAAATTTATCACGATACCTTAGAGCATGACATAAAAATCTTTTATTGGCTTAAATTTACATATGAATTTCGTATTTTTTTTTCAAAATGTGTGGTAATAAGAACTATAATTTTGAAAGAGAACGTTTTCGGTGAACTGTGACATATAAACGGAAAAATTATGAAATGAATGGGTTAAATGTCGTATATTTTGTTTTTATTAACCAGAATTGTGTTTTTCTTTTTTACCAAAAGTGTCATTACCTCACAATTCGGTAATTTTACCAGAATTTTTTTCACAGTGTGTAAGCCCTTTCTTTTTTCTCGAACACAGTTCTCTCATGATTGATCTGATGTAAAAGTACAGTATAGGTCGTCATGTAAAAATATAAGCATGAAATGTAGAAATATAAATAATACAAGCAAAGCTCATTTATTCACACTTAATATCGAAAATACTGAAATTAGATTTCGAATTGTAAACTGTACGTTTTTTATGAAATAATTACCCAAAAGTCGGAATCCATATTTTTTCTGAAAAAGATCGAAATTGAAAATGAAACAACTATTTTAAAAATATACCAATCATGAAATGCGTTGCCATTTTTTTCCTTGTAACTATAAAAAAAAATATTTATGGATGGAATATTTAATAAAGCCCTTTTTGGTTACTAATTTTACATCAGTATTTGGTGAATTGTTTTCAATTCGATTAACTGATAGGTAGAATTAATCGGTAAAGTTAACGGAAAAAAGAGCAACAAAAGAAAGAACCAGTAGAAAAAGTCCGGAAAAAAGAACAATAAAAATAGACACCACGATAAGAATTTAACAACCAATTCAGTTCGGGCTGCTGAACTATAATTTAATTAAATATTTATACGAATGAAGTTGCATAATTTTTAAAAAAAAATAATATGAAAGGATTAATTTAAATTTAACTGAAAGGATTTTTCTCACATATTATTTAACAAATTGATTAAGACTCTAAAGCAGTTCTAATATTATTTTAAATTTCAATAGTTACACTTATTGAATTGTGACGCAATAACATGCAAATTATACTTCTTAAACTGTTTATTCTTTTTAAATTGTATTCAATTGAAATGTTTCCATTTTGGTTAATATTTTTAACTTATCAAAAGATTAATTACCTGAGAGACTGTTAATTAATATATTATTTATAACAACACTATTATACGTTAGGAAATGTATTTATTGGAGAAAAAAAAGTTCCTCTTTGCTGACTTCAAAGTCAACTTTGTATCATAATTATGATTTATTTTTTTTTAAAAATACTAATAATTATGATACAAATCTATTATGAATGAATTATTATTCAATTCGGGTTAAACAGTACGAATTGAATCGGATGTTAAATTATTATAATAATAATTAATAAGATGGTTTCTTTCCGATGCTCTTTTTTTCAGTATATTTTTTTCTGGTACTTTTTTTTAAAATTTCATTTGGTGCTTTTTTTCCTCGCAATTCGAATGTTAGGTTCAATGGCAAAGGAGATGAAATGTTCCGTCCGCAAACTTTCTTGCTTACTCTATCTAACAAAACCATAAACCATATGTTTTTATTGACAAAGTCTGACTCAAAAAAGAAAATAACGTTTGTCAAATTTGTTGGCTTATTTTGACTTACTTCTCTGAAAACTATAAATTAAAAATTACTTATTTTTTTCATAACAATGATTTAAGAAATACAGAAAAGGCTAAATTCTTATTTATTTTTAAAAAAAATTAATATATTAAAAATGAATATCTTTTACTAATAATTGATAAATATCCATCAAAGTAAAGCATTCTCGCAACAGTCCGTGTAGGGTCAGGAGAGTAATATAGGTAAAGTCGATACAATTTTCTGCGAGGACATGACTGTCAGAACGTGGTTAGCATTGAGCGTTGTACCGACTTTACTTCCACAACAAGCTGATTCTCATTTACTTGAAGGTGGGTAGTCTTCAAGCCACCTCTGAGATCAAAACTCAGTTCTTCACAATGGCAGCTCACTCCTTTTACGACTGAGCCATCGCATCTCAACGATATCGATAATGTCGATCATCATGTATCGATAAACTGCAGAAATGTATAACCCGTTTCTTTTTCAGTTTCGTTTATTCCTGATTTTAAATATTTTATTTAAATATATGCTCTCAATAATATGCTTTTTTTTTTTAATGAAGCAATTTTATTTTCAGTGATTCTGATTACCAAAGGCATTCAGATTCAACCCAATGGACAGTTAACGGAGGTAAGCAATTCAAATCCGTTATTTTTATTTTTGGGGTTAATAATTACAAATTTAAACATTTGCCTCAAACATGAAGCTTTGCCTCGGTGGATTATCCGAGAGTCAAAAATGTATATACAGGATGCTCTGTAATGATCACCTTCAATATATATAATTTGGAAATTCCTCTCAAAAACTAAGTCCAAAAAGTATAGTCATTCGAACTTGTATTTAAGTGAAGAATTATCATTAATTCGTAAGTAGGAAACAGAGACAAGCTGAAGGACGATTGTTTGAAACATCTCCATATTTCATCAGGCTATCAAACTGGTTTATGATTTTTTCGTCTCATCCAGTAATGGATTTCCGTCTTACCCAGTAGGGATTTTGCTTTTTTTTCTCACTTATGTATTAATTTACTTCCCTTTATGCGTAGTATCTTTTTTACTTCGTTTTTGACAAGGGTTCTTAAAAAAAAGTAATATAAAGGGAGATGTTCACAGAACACCTTGAACAATTTTTTTCTATATTGTTTTCTTCTCTATATATGAGTAATTAGACATTTTTATGAGTGTTGCTCTCTTAACTCAATGCTGATATCACAGCTGACGCTTCTAAATAAAGATCACATAACTTTTCTAATGATTAAAGACAAAGTATTTATACAACATAAATTCGATACCAATCGCTTTTAAGATAAAAAGTAAATCTGAATTTCGGCATGCGTTAAATAAGAATTTATTTTCAAAAATAACTATTAAACTTAGTTCACCTTATTTTGTATGAATCACTTAGTCCTTCTTTAATATAAGGACCCAGCGAAAATTACAAAATACGATAATTTTTTTATTAAAGTATTATTTGAATTTTATGTGTACGTACGAAAAGTGTGAATCACAATAAATGTTGTATATTATTTATTTTTTAGGAAATAATAATAATGGTGAAGGTCAAGAGGTGACAAGTACTTGTGTTACAAATAATGATGCTGGGTAAATACCGCTTTTCATTTATAATATTTCGTTTGTACACATTCATGCTAAAACTCTAAATGCTAGATTTCTTTATTTCTTTAAGTATTTAAAATTCATTTATCTTTATTTTAAAGCTATTTTTGTTAGTTGGAGCTGGTATATTAAAATCATTTTATTGTTTTTTTTTTTTTTTTTTTTTTTTTTTTTTTTTTTTTTTTTTTTTNTTTTTTTTTTTTTTTTTTTGCTTATTGTTTTATTAAGTAGGACGGAATTGTTATAATATCATAAAAATATAAAAAGTATGCGATATTAAATATTAGGTACTGCATCCTTGTTACTTAATTTGAAATGTGCGTCGTGTATAAAACGCAAAAACAAGTTTAATTCAAAATTATAAATTTAATTCAAATTAATATATAATTGAATTATTTGGTTTATTTTCAGGTCCTTCCCTAATTTTCAGTAAACGCATTAGCACATGGAATTTAATTTTTTAGATAAAACAGTATCTACGTTTTAAAGAAATGAGTACATAGGTATTTTTAAATCAGTGCTCGCACGATCCGTAAAAATTTATAAAAAGGTTTTAATATTACGATAAAATTTCGTTAGAAATATATAAATATATATATACATATATTTCTAAATATTAAGCATTACGGTAAAGGAGAAACTAATATTTTTTTAAAATTTTATTTAATGGTTTTCAAAATGTGTTTGCTTACTATTCTTGAAAGTTTCTCCTTTTTCATTTTTATATATTAATTTTCATGGACCTCCTAAAAGCTCCGTTTATACAGAGCTTTCATAATTCAAATGCCTTATAATTCATTGTAGATCAATGCGTAAAGGAAAAAACGTATAACTGAAAATTAAGCAAATTAATTAAAATTCGTCGTAAAATTACTAGTTTCAATTACGTTTTGCACTAGCCATTTGACACTTAGTATTATTGATGTAGAAAACAAAAGAAATAGTGACAATTAAAATTTAAGACAAAGCACTTGTATAAAAATGAAATATAAAAAGGTGAATACCTTTAATTCAAGTTATGATGTCACTATTTACTATTTACTATCTTCAGCATATAAATGAATACAGAAAATAAACATTAAAAAAGGAGGGATCCCTTTCTTGAGTTTAAAAAAGAAGTATAAGTGAAAAAAACGTTTAAATGAAAAGTACGTATAAATGAAAAATATGTATAAACGAAAAATACGTATAAACGAAAACTATAAAGAAAAGAAACTTAAATACTGTGCTTTTCTGTGCAACGAATTTTAATCTATGATAATTACATTCCCCCCCCCCCTAAATAGTCATTAGATATTATGTATCTAATGATTATTTAGGAAAAAAAACAATGAATTAACTAAAGTGAAGTAAGAAACCATCTAAATATCTTGCTCATATTAACTGTAAATATCTTAATCTTTTTTCCCGTTTATGTCTAATTCAAAAAAAAGAAAAGAAAATTAACGAACTAAAATCGTGTTCAAAAGCAGCTAAATCTAAAGCGAATATTACAGAAAAGTAGTCGTATTTTATGCCTATTTCGAAAACAGAAAATGAAACTAGCATATGAAACACGTAAAAGAGCAGTGCAAAATTTAGCAAAGTGATTGCTCTATCTACACCTGGATGTTATTGGTTGGTATAATTTTATTTTGCAAAGCTAAAATACCAAGAACTATTGTTAAATCTACTCTTATAACTACTTCTCCACAACCCTTTGAAAATTGCTGCTTTACTTTCATTTTTTACTTTACTGGACAAAGAGAAGGGTTGTGGGGTCCACCAATTATCCAGGACAACCCACACGCGAAATGACACCAGGTTTTGTTAAAACTGAAAAATGAAGAACTCACAATACATAACTCTCTAGGAGGACTGTATTCTTGTCAATAGGAATCTGGAATCCCATAAAGAACAGTGGCACAATCACTTGATCTGGAATCCCAATTAACAACACTGCCATAAACAGGAATGAACAAATGTAGTGTGGGGTGACTGTTGATACAGGTGGACAGAATACAGAGATATTTTTGTCACCCCTTTGGGGACTTTCAAAAAAAGAATGGATGTCAGGCACTATAGACTGATCGGTGTAGAGGGTATCGAAAACTATGGACCGATAGTATACTTGTCATTCAATTGACGTCAAGCCCCAATGAACCTTCAGCATTCTCCTATATCCGTCCCACTGCAGAAGTCAGCTGGGACGCCGTTTTAAACATTCTTTATTTATTTATTTATTTATTTATTTATTTATTTATTTTCCCAATAAATAATTGATAATTATAAGCCGTAATATTAACCATATAGGGGCATGTGAGGTACTAAGTTTTCGAGACTGAGAAATTAAATTTTAAAGCGGGATAAATGGAGAGTGAAGAGTTTTTTTACTATTTTTCCTGGTTCAGTTTGGTGTTCAACCAGAACAATTCAGTTAAAACCTAAAATTTACAGGAAGACTGCTTACCTCATTTTTCTTTCAAAGAAAAAGAAATCGATTACTACGTAAGTAATCGTTAGATTCGTAAGAAATTACAATTTCATTTCCTCTTGAAGGAAAGCAAAGTACTTCATGTCTCTAAAAAAGTAATTTTCATCATTTTACCACAAAACGGGGTTAGATGACCAGGGCTGAGAGAGGGATGATGAACAAATAACAATACAAATCATAATGTTGGATAGAGGTTTATTTTCAAAATGGCGGAGAAATGTTTTAATTTAGGTGCATAGTGAAAAAGTTCACTTAAAATTCAATGACAGGCTACCCATATTGAAACAAAAACTTAAAAAATAAGAAGAGAATAGAAATTTTTTCTCTCTCTTAACATCTTAAAAGAATAAAAAGAATAAAAAGATTGCAAGAAAATATGAAAAAACATCATTCGAAATATTGCTTTTTTAACGGAAGTCGGTAGAAAGGTCCCGTTAAATATTTTTTCTATTTTAAATATTATTTTTCCGAACTATTTTATACATACTCTTCCAAAACAGAATATACATAAACATAAAATCTTAAACATAGAAATAATTAGAATGTAAAGAATATTAGCAAATATGGGAATTATGGTTTCCCTATAAATATATGATTCTTTAAATATTCTTCCTTTTATTAAACTATAATTTTTAATTTTAGAGAAATATAGCTTTTTTATTGACGTGCAATTAGAAAAATACATTCCTGTTTTAGTTAAGTTACATACATTTATGAAATGGGATAGTATTTTCCTTCCTCAGAGAATGGAGGGATTTCAAATACTTTAACTTTTAAAAAACTTTATAACTTTAAATTTAGTGTTGAGGACACATTCTGGTGAAAATTAATTATCTTCGCGGACACTTTAAGTTTAGTGAAAGGCAAGGGTAGTGAAGTATATTAATTAGAAACAAAAAATATGCAGAGTTAATTGAAAACATAAAATTTGATTATCCACCTTTTTCTTTTTAAGCATGTTTAACATGCCACAGACAAGCGTTATGCTCTTTAATTAAAATGTAGAGAGTACGCTGTGCTAATGAAACTTTAATTAAAGCTAAGGAAAGTTTAAAGGAAATAATAATAATAAAAACAAACGTACTGTTATCATATCGGTAGGGAAGGGTGGAAAATATTGGGTTGGGTTTAATGCTTTAGTTGTAAGAAAGTGCTACGTTTATTAGCATTATAATAATCTATCATATTATAATAATTTATTATACTAAAATAAACAAATTGTAACTAATGACGTTATTGGTATTTTATGCGAACAAATTTTCCATTGAAAATACTCGCTCAGCAAGATTGTTTTTTCTTCTTCTATTACAGCAGTGAATGTGTTTCTCCGTCTGAAAAAGCTTCTAAGCCCAGCAAGGACACAAATAGTGATAATCCTAAAGAGCAAATGGAGGATGGAATTAAATGCTTAATCTGTATGGTAAGTACGTTTTCGAAGCTTCTTTCGCTTTACTTTTAAATATCTGAAATTTTTTATTGAAACGATTTACTGATATTTTTTCAACAAATATAGGGGGATTCCACAGTGGGGAGAAAATTAAGAAATTATATACTAACTAGTGGGCTGCGCCCCCTGCTCGCTGACGCTTGCCAACCCCGGAAAATCGCTACGCAATCTTATATGGTTTGCTTCGCAAACCAAGCTCGCTTCGCTCGCTACTACCTTAGATACATTGCAAATTCACAAAATTCTAAGAATTCAAAACAATCATTTAAATCCATATAACAACTTTTTTAAAAAAAAAAATTACATCTTTTTAGTAAATACTAAGTCATTAAAATAAATTTGAATTCAAATAAATGACATGTAATTCGTTAAACCTATTAGAAATGTGCTATAGTATAAAATCTTAAGATAAAATTTCTAAAACTGATATCTCTTTAAAAAGGTTAAAATTTTGGCTATAATTAAGTCTATTAAAAATTGAAATAAGTGAATTGCAATGGAAAAACCTGCATAAACAAAACATTGAATTTCGGAAGAAATCACATTTGGTGAGAATGCTCTCTCTTGTCAAAAAATACAAAATAAACTGACCTCAAATAAAACTCAAAGGACTTCGAATCAAATAATTAAGGAAACTACTATCACGTTTAATACAAAAGGAAGATTTATTAACTAAAAAATAAAATTACAGCATCGCAGTTCCAAAAAAGAAATATCACACTCACTCAAAAAAAAAAAATTTTTTTCACTCTAAATAGTCANCACTCAAAAAAAAAAAACAATTTGAATTCTAAATAGTCACCATAGCAACCACAAAACTCTTCTCGTTACCATCTATAAATTAATATATAATAAATAAATTATTTAACACAAAATACGATGCGCATAAGCACATAATATTTTACACTCTGGTTATTTCAGTTTCCGTTGTTAAAAGCGCTATATGTTGAGCCACCTCACCATGTGACATTCCTAGCCGCAATGATTGGTCGATTTTCAAGCGTTGCCATTCGAGGAGTTGTAATGAGGCTTTTTTTTATCGCCGTGTAAGAGAAATATATAGATGTTTTTATTAACATGAATAAAATTGTTTTTTAACTAACATTTGACTCTAAGATACATTTGACACAAAGATATTGCAGGCATAAATGCTTAGTTACGAAATGCTTTCTTAAATATATTAAATAATTTCACGCATTGCGTGCTGGACTTAATGGTAGAATCCGACTCAATCATTTACGTGAGTTGGTTCTGCCGGCAAAAGGCCTTGTGTAAAATGTAAGATTATGTGGAAAGTGCATTGCTTGTATCGGTTATTGTATTTAAGTGTCAAGGAAGGTGTTTCAGTAAGGACACCTTGAAACAATTTTTGTCATAGAACTTCGGATCGAAGATGAAAAGGGTGACAACCACGGGGAATCTTCTGTAGGTAAATCAAGTCCAAGAAAACATTTAAAAATAAAAAACATTTAGAAAGTATACAAAAATAGTATATTTTTTTATCAGAAATTTTGGTAAATATGTTTTAATATTTATATCAAAGTGATTTTTATACAAAAACACAAAATTTGAAGCAAGTAAGTAGTTGAACAATGCTTCTGTCAAACCTTTGCTACAGTGTTTCGGGGGGAATATATTTTTCTAAGTTCACTGGAGTGGTTTTACTTCAAATTTTAAATTTCGGCATAAAAAATTCGTTGATAACGATATATTTAAAATTTTCATTACTGTCTTTGTTCTGTATAATTTACCATTTTCTTTTCTTGATTCTACTTCCCTATAGCAAATGCGCTTTGCCATTGCGTTTTAAGACAAAATTAATTCATTAATTAATAAAACAAGATAAAGTGCTTATTTTTTACTGTTTTTATTACTTCTCAAAATTTATCGTTTCGTGTTTTGTTGATTCTTAAAATTTATTGCACCTTTTAATTCTATTGCCTTATAATTATTGATAAAAAAAATCACCATATTTTAATTAACATAATTTTGTATATAAACTGCTTTAACTCACTTATTTACGTTTTTGTTCGTCAAGCGAAATTAAAGTGGTATATAATATGCAATAGTAATAAAATTAATATAATTAATTATACACAATAATCAAGTATAGATAAATTATTATTCGTCATTAATATTAATGTTAACATTTTCAATTAAATATTTTTGATGTGATCAGCGTAAGGAAATGTTAATTGTTCATCTACCCAATTTGGAACAAACAGTCGAGACGGTATATTATGAAGTTGCAAATATTCCTCGAAATACTTTTCTGGTTCTCTTAGCTTCCTCTGGTACGGCCATCTTTGTTCAAATCTTTCCTCAGCCGATGCAATTAGTGGATGGTACCACAACTCAACACCAGATATAACTTCATTATCCAAAGCGGAATTAATTTTGTCACGCCATAAAGTAGCCGATGATTTCTTCACGTTGGCGCAATTACTGTGTCGCCCAGAACTTTTTCTACTTAAATAATTGGCGACATTTTTAGTCAGCATTTGCGGATAGTATGGACCTATTGGACAGCCAATCCGAAATCTTGCACCTTGAAATTCTGATGTTGTAGAGGGATTTCTTCTAATAAACAATGGTGCGGGTTCATCAACACCATGAATCCATCCATTGCAAATACAACGACTGGGTTTTTCGCCATCAGGCAAGGAATTTGGTAAAGGTGCGCCATCCGCACCTACTTCAGTTCTTTGATCTGCTTCTAGAATGTTAGTTGGCTGCCAATTTCTTCGCAAGTTTCTTAAGAGTAATTGTTTGTAATCGGTAAATAAATACGGTAGCCATATTGTCTTTCGATAATCTTCATCAAAACGCTTAAGGCCAAATTTTATTTTATAATCATCTATTTCCTTCAGAAATTGGTAGTAACTTTTGAACATATTCTAAATTTTGATTTAAATAAAATAATTGGCATTCAGACGTTAATTTTGCTTTGTTTTAATATAAAATAGATTCGTTGCCATGAAATTTATTTTTGTGTAAAGTTAATATTTTATTAACTAGAGAAATCTTTTAATAAATATATTTTTTGCAAGAGTCTTATAATTATAATATTCTATAAATTAAGTTTAATTATAATAATATTTTAATTTATAATCTATTAATAATATTAAGTTTTGTCTTTTTTGAAGTTCTTTTTTCTTTTGTTTATAACTGGAAACTTAATATGCCGCATATATATTCTCGTTCATGTCAAATAGAAAAAGGCTAACAAAAGTATTACGCATATATACGCATTACGGTGAAAATTTGTTAAAATTTTACGTAAAATAAGTTAATTTTTATTACATTGGTACAATTTTTTTTTTACTCTGTTGGTTTTTAAGAGAATTGAGCCCTTTTTAATATAGTTCAGTCAATTAGCAAAATAAGTTCCTTAGCTGCACATCGGTAAAGCTACACTTTCTAAAAAACAAAGATCTTCTTTTAATTATAAGGGAAAATAATGGACAAAGTTAATCAATCAAAAATTAGCTAAGGAGAAACACTTTTCAAAACAAAGAAAATTTTGTAGAAACATGTTCGCAGCTTTATATCAAAGTAACGAAAAGCTTGTAGAAGCATGTTCACAGCATGTTTTCTAAAAAAGGAAAAACATGTAGAATCATGTTCGCAGCGTGTTTTTTGAAAGAAAGAAAACGCCTAGCGATGAGTTACGTAATAAAGGTCTGAACTGGTGATTTCTGAATCTTGGAAGAATCTTCAAAATTTTCCGAGAATCCGAAATCACCGAAAATAAAATTTTTATTTACCAATATATTTTTTTTTCTAAACTTTTGCAAATGTACTTTAACAATATGTAAAAAAAAATAATAATAATAAGTAGTGTCATATTATTTTCTTTCAAAACCTCATGTATAATCAAATAGAGAAATTTATTTTAATATTAATGACATATGATACGATTTAATATGATAAAAAATTTCATTTTTGGGGTAAAATGCGCATTCCACACTGTATGATGCTGCAGGAAAAATGCTATTTTGATCCATAGAACAGCGTGTGTTCTCGTTTTTCTGTCAAATAAGAACTACTGTTTATTCTGAAGGGGAGGTCTGAACTTAATTATAGGCTATCTCAATTTGAACTTTGCTTGGAGCGTTGTAGAGAGTGATATAAATTGCTGCTTATGTATTTACTACTCACACCCTTCTGGCATTTCTGCCTCCCAATCAGCTCCCGTGGTGAACAAAGGAGCAATTTCATTTGTAGAATGCGCACAAGGATAGACGCACCTGGCTAGGGACAAAACTGATTTGACACGCTTCATATTTTTAGATTAATCGAAACTTTAGGGGAGAAAACGTCTTTTACCCCTACAAACTATTTAAATGACATCATTTATCATCATTTGACATAATTTTAGTAGAGAATATTCTAGATAGGACTTCTAACGCTGGAATAACCTTTAGTGGCAAATTTCTATACCAGAAATATTACAAACTATATTGCAAAAAACTATATTACAAACAACTATGTTAGTAATTTAAAGTTTAAAGCAAGGGGAAAATTGGCAAACCAAAAGTAAAAAACTAGTATAAAGTTTTAAATTCCGTAATTTTTTATTTTCGCGTTATATAATTGTGAACAAATTGTGGCAGGTTCGGCTGCTGTTATATCAAAAGAAAGTAATCCTGTCACAGCTTGAGAAAAGTAAATTTGTTAATTTTGGTAAAAATGAGTGGAAAATATTAGATTTTGCAAATATTAGATTAAAATTCAAACTACTTTTTTTTGGACTTTATATTTCAATACTTGGCTTTTATATGTAATCTTCTGCATCAAAGGATTAACCACTTTACTTTCCACTAAAAACCCGCTTCATTCGTCATTGATAATGCATCATAATGACGTCATTTTCATTCACATTTCAAAAAGGTGCGAGAATCGAGTAAGAAGAATTTAGCATCTGGAAGCTTAATTGTATTTTTGCAATTGGATACGATATTTTTTACCTAATTTTACCTAAGTTCTTACCTTTGACTAGTCCTTTTTGAGGTCAATGTGTGAGTAATCTTAATTAAAGTAATCTAAGACCAGTATATTAAGACTAACTAGTTTATTAAACTAAAATGAAATGTGGTTCTTATTATAAAATGAATGTTGCTGAACTAATTGGAGTTGAATCAGTGAATTGTGCATTTTCTTATTAGCATTCAAAATCTTTATGTATTAGAATTTAACATGTTTTTCTTCTTTACTTAGGAAACTTTCATCAAACCAGTTGTGTCAATATGTTGCTGGCATGTTCACTGCGAAGAGTGTTGGTTGAAAACTCTGGTAAGTAAGATATATATCACTAACTTAAAATTATGTTAGAAGCACGTGAGGATAAAATATTTAGACATTTCGCTAAGTTCAGGGAAATTAAATTACTTTAAAAGTGCATGATGAACAGATATTTAAATATTGCACTAGCTTTGAGATATTGGAATAATTTAAGAGACCTCGGAATTATCAGATATTTAGATATTTCACTATAGCTTGAAGGCACTTAAGTTATTTTTTCTCTTCACAAAGATAATTGTTGGTTTAAAATTGAGTTAGTTTCTCTTTTATGCCCATTTTAGTTATTTTTAATGTAAAATTAATGATAATCAAAGCTTGTTATTTTGTCGAAATTATTATCTATTAATTTATATTTGTATATTGTTGAACATCAATTAAAAATTATATTATTTTATTTTAGGGAACTAAAAAGTTGTGTCCTCAGTGCAATATGATAACTGCAGCCAAAGATTTGAGGCGTATTTATCTATGACTGTCCTAATTTCCTTATTACAAGCTTATTGTTAACTAGTCAGATATACCTTTATATTACCCGCAATCTACAATTTTCTAGACAGCTGAAGAGGGAGGACGTCAACTCTAATAATATATCCTTGTTGTGTTGGAATGGAAAAATTTAAATTTTCTGAAAAATATCTGCTACACACAATTAAAATCCTTTCCTGAACAGCTGAAGACAAAACACATCAATCCTATTGATATATCCTTCTTGTGTTCGACAAAATAAATTTGATTCTTTCAAATTAACGAGATTTTCTCGACAGTTGAAGACCAAAGGCACCCACAAAGATATATTCTTCTTGTTTTCAAAAAAATTATTCGATTTTTTCATATAAAAACCATTTTATGGACATCTGCAGACAAAAGACATCAAATTTAAAGATACATCCTTGTTGTGTGAAAAAATTATCTTCGATTCTTCTAAAGTAACTCCATTTTCTAGACAGTTGAAGACCAAATGACATCCACAATAGATCTATATTCTAAGGCAAACTAACGCTGTTTTCTAGACATTTGTCGGTCAAGGACATTCTCCCTAAATATATACCCTTATTGTATAAAAAAAGGTACCAATGTTTGAAATGTATATCCTTGTTACGTCAAAAATGAAAATCCAATTCTCATAACTTAACACAATTCTTAGAACGTTGCATGAAACCGAAAACGTTGATTTCAAAGTTATGTTCCCACCATGAAAATTAAAGTAATTTTGATTTTTTTTAAAAATGTGTGCAATGTAAATTCGTGTAGGAATTTTAATTTCAAATTTATTTCGGGATGTTATAATTATTCAAGGTATTGTTTAATGCTACTGCGTAGAAAGTGAGCATAATAATTCTTAATCCAATAGTACTATTTAGTTCAGCACCATAACACTTAATATAAATAATGTGGTCATTTACAAAATTTATTTATCAATTTAACAACATTTAGTGTTAATAAAGTTTACCTAAGGTGTGATAATTAATTAACTATAATTATTGTAATTTTTTAAATTAATGTTGAGTTGAAGATTCAAATTTTGACTAGAAGATTTGGTTCGATGTTGTTTTTTTAAGTTTTGAATGTTTTTTTAATTACATTTTTTGGAAATCTCAACATTTTCGATTCATTTTTGAAATAATTTTTAAAACATAACGCATAAGTGGTATCCATATGTAGAGGCTTTGTTGTTATTTTACCTATTTTTATTTATTAATCTAAATTACAACAAATATTTATTACTTCGCTTTTGTTTTTGTGATGTTTGAAATTTTGCATTGCTTAAATAAACTTTGTTATGAAATTTTATCCTTTCATACATAATCCATCTTAATTCTAAAAACATATAAATCTATTAATTTATATATATTCCCACATTTTATTCTTAGGAAAAATACGTTTCGTAATATATTTCCAATTCTTATACGTAATAACATTTTACAAATATCAAATATGAACTTTTGAAAGAAAATTACAATTTTTTTTATTCATTACGCTAATTGATAAACTTTATTCAATAAATTTTGAGACGGATTTTTCTAATCAAATTAACTGATACCGGTATTAATGAATACAAAAAAAATTGGTACTTACCGTACCATGTAATCTTCAAGTCAAACAGAACGTTTTATGTTTGTAAGTCTTATCAGTGCTGAATTCAAATATGAAATATGTTACTTATTTTAATACACTTTGAATATTTCTTATATTGTTTCTGAAAGAGAAGCAATTAATTGAGTTAATTAAAAAAAGATAGCTAAAGCATTAAGTTCTAGTGTGGAATAGTATAGTGGGCCTTCTGTTGCAAATTTGTTGTAATCGAAATAAGGGGTTAAACTAATAAACGTTGTTTTGAAGTTCAACTATGGTATTGTATAATAAAGTTAAAGAAGTACATTAAAACAAGGTTCAGTTTTGCTGAAAATTTGGATGATTTTAGGGATCAAACCACACCAAAAATTATAACAGTATGTTCAGAAAGATAACAAAATTTGAACAGCATTTTGAAAGTTTCATATATGACTTGAATCAGTGTACTTCTAAACAGAAGACTCACACTTTTCTTTCGTGCCTTGAAGATTTTGTATTTGGTATCATCTCTGTTTTTTAGTTGCAAATGATTCTTTTCCCAAAAATTTAGAAATTATATAAATGTCATCAAAATAAATAGCATATTTTTAAATTCAGCTTCTCGAAATTGACAAAATTGTTTTTTTTTATGTATCCAAATGTTAAATTTCGTCCCATTTTTTGCAGAAGAGTGAAAACTGTATGTTTCGAATCAAAATTACGACTATTGCATCTAATAAAGAAAGTGAGGTATAAAAATCTAAAAGAGCAGCTGTGGATTATGGGGAGCTAGCCTTTTTCGAATGATTAAATTGCAATTTGGATGTAATAAAAATTTAAGTGTTGTTATTGTTGTCTTGTTGGAAATTTTCAATTTGCAAAAAGTTTTACGATGAATTGTTTTTAGCTTGTATTATTGTATAGCTGGGAATAGTTTTAGACCTCTTGTACAAATTTTCCCCTCCCCAGTTTTTTACTTTGTTAGAGTTTGCCACTGCTTGCTTTGTACCAAATTATTTCTGTTGTCTGAATTATAAATAAAAACTTAATGTCAATACCAATCTTGATGTTCGTTATTCATAATACTATTAGAAAACTTTCTTCTTTTATATTCTTTTTTCTTCTTCTTTATACTTAGAAAAGCAGCACATTTTAAAGGTAAGTAAAAAATAATATTTTAAGTCATTTTACTGCGTGTGTCATAATATTTCTCAAAGTACAGAGCATTCTAATTTCAGACTAAAGTGAAAAACATTAATAATGCACAAATCATGTACAGAAATTGACATACTATAGTTTCTGTTCTCTAAACATCAAATGGCATAAGAAAAGACATCAAAATAAAGAGAATTTAAGTAAGCACGTGCAAAGTATATCACTTTGAAATCAGGTCGAGGAACAAGTTTAAAAAAATATAATGGAAAGAAGGGTGAAAGTGTGTTGTTGTCGTAGATAATTCACGTCGCACTAGAGCTGCACAATAGGCTATTGGCGACGGTCTGGGAAACATCCCTGAGGATGATCCGAAGACAAGCCATCACAATTTTGATCCTCTGCAGAGGGGATTGCACCCCCGCTTTGGTAGCCCAACAACCTGCACGCGAAGTCGAGCACTTTACGGTAGAGCAGTTTAACGAGGACCCATGCCGCACACCCTCGGTCCCTACTCAGACTGATCCAAGTGGTTTCCCACCTGTACATTGTCCGCAGCCAGTGATGCTTGACTTCGGTGATCATCTGGGAACCATGTCTGAACGATCAGTCCGGGTGAAAGTGTGAGGAGGTTTGACTCAATTTAAAAAATTCAAAACTTTCTGATATTATGATGATAGCCGACGATTTAAAAATAATTGAAGAAAAAGGAAGGAAGATAGAAAAATACAGTTCACCACTCTCTGCTTAGAATAAAAGTTCATTTTATTTAAGTGTTAATCGCAGTATTCAAGTTTGTAATAACCTTACTGTAATTATGTTTTCAAAAAAGCCATAATTTGCCATAACAACGCAACGCAATTTCAAGACAAAATTGACAGAAGCTCTGGCAAATATTTCCTTTGACTGAAATATTTTGCAATTTTTCAGCCATCTGTTAAGAAATTTAGTAACTAATTTTTAAACTCGGAAAGAATAAGATTTTCTAAGCAGAGCGAAACAAACCGTTTTCTCTCGCCTTCCATTTTCATTAAATTGAATTTTCAAATCATTTGTTATTTTTTTACCTGATAGAACCTCCTTTAAGCTTCAAACGGCTATCTAATTTGTTTTGTTAGTTCGAGAAAAATTCGCTAAATTTTAATGAAAAATATTTTAATTCATTGCTTCAATGTCCCGTAGTGGACAGATCATGAAGACACGGTTTCGAGTAGAGCACTGAAGTCAATAATCACTAGCTGTGGTCAGCGAGCTGGTGATCAGCCCGTACAGGCAACGAGAGTGCACAGTATAGATCTTTGTTAAACTATTCTACCGTTAAGTGCTCGACTTTACCAACACCTCCTAGAAGTATGAAGGCCTCAGCACGGATCAATTTAGTAGTCCGATGTGACGAAGTTAACTGCGCAATAGATGAAAAACAAGAAAGATGTCATTACGTTCGGGGTACTGAGCTGCGCAGTGGTTGAAAATAAGACATATGTCATTACGTTTGGACTACTAAAGGATATTTATGGTAACCTGTGCAGAGGCCTACTCTTTTCTAGGAGGTGTTGACTTTACGCTCAGTTAGTCAAGCTATCAAAGTAAGGTCATCATCCCTTCTGCATGTAGAAGATTAAAATTAGGTTGGCATATCTTTGGATTATCCTTAGGGATGGTTCGGACACTTTCGCCAATAACCCATTGCGCAGCTCCAGTGCAACGTAAATAAAATACTACTCTTACTACTACCTTGCTTAAATATTAATTAAGATCCTGAATGTGTGTATATGTTTATTTCATTATTGCAAAGATTCTGAGTAATTATATTAGGGGGACCGGAAAGTTAAGTCGTTTCGGCGCATTAAATATTCATTTGTTTTAAAAACCAAATCATTCTTTTTGATTCATCTCGATTTATTTTCTATCCGGCATTGAAAAGTTGTAGCTAACGAGGGTGAATACATTATTGTTTAAAAATAAATCTTGATAACAAATATCAAATGCACCGAAACGACATTACTTTCTGGTCCCCCTAATAAATTGTCGTAATTATGGAACTCCCTGTATATTTATAAGTTTTAAATTCGATGCACAAATATTTATTTTCTGATAACGGCAGTTTTGTTCTACAAACAGTTATTTCAACTTCGACAACTTGAATTCTGATTAAAATATTTTGCTTACATTTTCTCCTTTTTTTATTTTATTTTGTTTGTTTGTTTGTTAAGCGTGCAAACAGGTTTTATTTTGTTGCTTTTAATACCTGATATAGTAATTTATTTTTTTTACTTTGAGCTTGTTGTAGTATAATTCCACCCACGTCTTGCGAAAAACTACATTCAAATCAATGCAACAAACAATAGATGTATATTAGTTTGTTTTTTGAAAAGATTTTGAAAATATATGGGTTTTTTGAAAAGATTATGAAAATATATGGTTTTTTTTAAAAAAGATTTTGAAAATATATGGTTTTTTTGAAAAGATTTTGAAAATATATGGGTTTTTTGAAAAGATTTTGAAAATATATGGGAAGTGGGTGAATGTAGTCCTCACAGTATTTAATCAACATCCCAAATTTAATAAGGGATTATTCCCTTTTATACCTTAAGCATTAAATTAACTGAACGAAGCAAATGTAAGACTTTTTACTTTTAAATAAGATTGAAAACCGTAAAATAAATAAATATATTTATAGAAATAAAATAAAAAAATGCTATCATCCATCACTTAGAGCAATTTAGAGCTGCAGTAAAAAGTTATTACAGTTTTCTAGAGGGTGCTTAAAAATCAATAAATTCAAAACTGTCGGCCGCAATGCTTACAACCATGCATCATTACACTTTCCTTAAATTCTAAACACCCTTTCATTCGACAAGTTCGAACATGTTTTGCACCATTGAGGGGGTGAAGGCAAATGATCGAGAAAGACCACGTCATAAAAGGGTGCTGAATTTTAAATAAGTTATTCCGGGTGTTTTGACTGTTGATAAATGAGTTTTTAAGTGTTTAAGGATCGGATTTTTTTGAGAAAATATTTTAAGATGGTGTATAAATATGCGGTTTAAAGTTAGTGGCAATTTAACGCTTGGAAATGTATATATATGTATATTTTCTGTTGAACAGTAGTAAATTAAATGAGGAGCTTGGGGTAATATAATGATTGGCCACATTTTCAAATTGTTTGTGGAGAATGTTTTTGGCAATTAAAAGAAAACATATTTTCATTTAGGCAATAAGTTTTTCCTGTGCATTGTGCTGTAATTTCGAAAACATGGAAAATACTTATTCAAAAATAATAAGAAGAAAGAATTTGATGTTAAAGTGTCAAATTTAGAAGAAAAAAAATGTGGGTTGTCACTATATTGGATCAAGTAAATACAAAAAATTGAATTTTCTTTATAACAGATATTTAAAGTGAACCAATTACAAGTTTGTTCAGAAATTATAGCAATTATTGAAATCATTACTATTAATATTTAAACGCCTTGATGTCTTCTTAAATTGAATTATTCTAAAATTAAATCATGAGACTGACTAAAAGCACCATTTAAACAAAACTTAAGAGTTATAATTGGCAAATAAAAATGATTCAAATTAAGAAATTTATCGCGTTAAAATTGAAAAACTTATCTTTTGAAAGCTCTGCAGAAACTGTTGGTAAAAAAATACTATATCTCTTGAATTTAAAACTTTCACAATGAAGTTGCCGATATTCATGCATTTGCATTAAAAGGAAGTAACTCGGTAAATTTAAAAAAAAAGAAGAATTTCAATCTTATTATGTAAATTGGTACCTCGTAGCCCTTAATGTAAGTTTTAAGAATCCTTGCAAAAGAGGATGTAATCAAACTGGTTTTGGATGTTTTTTATCCCTCCTTAATCACTATTATTTCTTTCGTTATTATATATTTATTTGCTACCCGAAAAAAAACGTACCTTCAATTATTTATTTAAAAAAAAAATGATTCTAAAAATACATATTTAGGGTAGTCAATTTAAAATTTATACTTTTATTAAATATTTCGTTTTTCATCTTATACACATTTGCTTCAATAGTCGATTTGCAAAATTTTTTAGTATCATGTTACTGTTGTCCAAATAAGGATGTTCTCTGAATCGGTAATAAATAACTACAGAACGAAAATAGTCGGGACACTATTTTAATAACACGTTTTCGTATATATTGATGAATTTCTAAAATGTATTAAACATTAGGAAGATAGTAGACATGTGCTTTTATTTAGGGTAATTAATTCTGTTTGTTTTTTGCGAATGTTTTAATAATAACATCTTATACTTCTTATTTATACAAAAAAGGTATATTTTACGCCTTTTAACATTTAATTATTTTTTAATCGTTATGTCAAATAAGCACAATGAGCATATCACATGACCGAATGTCAAATGTTACGTCACATCAACGAATTAGCATTCCTGAAGTTATCTGAAACTACATTACATGTTTAGTCTGTTGATATTTAAGCTTTTAAAACGTGCTTCCATAAAACTATGTAATTTAAAATTAACGGCACTGGAAATAAAAAATATGATTCATGCTCTAAAAAGCAATATATTTAGTATTCAACTAAACTTATTAAGGCACTCATTCATTTAATAATAAATAATCCCAAGAAACAGAAAATATACGGTATTACTTGATTCAAACTTGATTAACTTAAAAAAAATAAGAAACGCTCAATCTGCCTTAAATCTGCACCAAGCAGGCTTGCTGGCATTAGAAAGTGGCATTAGAAAGAACAACAACACAAGAAGTTTTTAATCAACTAACTTATCTATTTTTTTAGAGGAACAGTTAAAAAAAAGCCATACTATTATTGATGCTTATTTAAGTTTGGTAATAGATGCTACGGGTAGTATGGTAATTGGTGCTATTAAAGTACCAAATAAACTAATATCTGTACCA